GAATTCTATTTCTTGTGAAATGCATTTTGGCAGCAGATTTAAAAAAACAAATATTCTCAATATAATTACTTACATTTCACACGAAAAACATTTTCTCATTTTCTGTATACAAGGTTTGTCGAGGCTGTTGCGGGACTTACTACCAAGAAGCCAACATTCACAGTGAGAGTGTCATTGAATCATAATGTGCTCTTAACGTCTTTTGCATTTTGGCAAGGCTCTAAACAATCAATGCCTTATACAGTTAGTTTAAATTAGTTAGTTGAAATATGCATCATACCATATTTATCATAAAAATTTTAGTGCTTAAAAGGGAACCTTCCGTTTCATATCTACTCGATGCTTGAAATGTTTTCACTTCAATTATTTCATAGACTTTATAAAGGTAACTAACTATAAAAATATGCTTGAAAAAACAGATAATATTTTTTCGTAAATACCTTCTAATGCTTTTAAACAACATGTTTTCTTCTTTGCATTCCAACTTCTTGTAATATAATTGTAAGAGATAAATTACCTTTTGGACTGATTATTCTACTCTAGCGATTTGCCTCTTAGGCTTTTTTTGATGTATTAAAATGAAATATTTAATAAATGAGATAACAGTTATTTTCTGGGAATATCAACGGAGCTAACAATTTTTGGACAAAAAGTCCAAACAATACAGATTTGGATATTTAAAAGAGAAAGAGGAGGAAAAGTAAAAATTGATCTTAAATATCACAGCTAGATTATTCGTAGAACCACATAATTTTATTAACGTCCATTATTTAGATTTCTACCATAATACTCGTATATATAAATACTTTAAAATAAAAGCAGAACCATATATACAAGTACTCTAGGTAATTACTTAAGAAATATATACCATAATACGCGTATATATAAATACTTTGAAATAAAAGCAGAACCATATATACTCTACGTAATTACTTAAGAAACCAACTTATCGCATAATCGTGCCTATTATGAAATATGAATTTAATTTGACACAAATCTGTCATAAGATGGAGCGCATTCCCTATATTTTCAGCTCACAGGCTGCCCTTTTCAGATGCGCCGTTAATTAGAGACCAGCGTTGCGCGTTTAACATAAACAAAGTTGCATAAACCATAAAAACAGTAAACAACATTGTCACTTAATTTAATCACATTTATAAAAGCCACTAATTGACTTTTCAACGGTAATGGTGGAGCTCCATTGCACACACACACTCGTTTCTGCGCGGAACGTCCATGCAGACAACAAAATATTTGCATATTGCCTGCCCTCATATTGGGAATTATTTCGCATTGTCCACTAATAAAGGATTGGACAACAAAATGTTGCCATAATTGCTAATTTTGAAATGCATAAAATGCTTCAAAAAGGTCATAACCTCAACGTGTCAGTGTTTGTACTCATTGCTATGTGTATGTGTGTATAGGCGCTAATTAAATTATTATTTTCAGCAAATGACAAAATGACTCACCAAATATCCATATTCTATATATCAGCAGGCAGCACAATATTGTTGGATAAATTTGTCCAATACTCTTGTTAATTTATTTAACATCGCCATATGTTCTATTAATTAACAAATATAAACATATTTTTTAATGACAATATTACGTTGCAATTTCAACTTAAAAGCTAACAAAGCCTACACAATACAGGTACAATAATGCCTTTTAACGCCTCCGACACGTTGTTCGTTGGCTTATTTACCCAAGCTCGTTTTATTCGTTCGATTGCCGAAGAATGATTGGACATTTCAACTCGACTGATTTCTTTAACTCATAGTCTCAACTGCAGAAATGGATATTCGTGATACATATGTTTAATGATTTCATCTGACTAATTACAGAATTGAAGTGATAACTATGTCTAAACGAATATGCGGAAAACTTTGTGGCATTATTATACTCATGTTTAATGAATGTGTACTTATTGCGTTACGTCCACTATACCCTAGGATTGCATTCGTGTTTCGATTTGATATTCTATGTGATATCAGACTTTTTTTTATCGATATCTATCCTATTACACCCCTCTAGTATGACAGGTCCTTCTTATTCATCGATATATCATATCCGATTTTAATACATTTATATTTAAGTGTACTGTACCAACAAAAATCTATTTTTTTTATAAAAAATTGTCACAAAATTGTAACCAAATTTGTAATCTGATAAAAATAGTCAAACAAGTACTTTTGGGATTTTTTTTTTTTAGGAAACCTAGTCTCGCATTTAGTTAATAGTAGGAAGCACTCAATGCTCAGAATTGGCAGGGAAACAAATCGGCTTATTGAAATTATTGACATCACTGCTAATTGGCACTAGAAAATGGCTGTCATTTTTTGACTTAGTCATAAAATTGTTCCCTGACATACTTGTGAAGTGCCACAAAAAACAAAAAAAAAATCTATGAAAAAAGTTGCATCTATGATTAAAAGGAATAATAAATAAATAAAGGAGGCATTCAATGCAACCATGCCTAGAAATACAGAGCCTCGATGCATGACTGAAGCCTCAAAATTCCATTCAACTGATATTTTTATTGACTGCACGTTTCGTTTATTTATTATTTTTCACACCCTATCAGTTTTCAATGAAATTTCATTTATTAAACAAGTTTTTGCCGTTTCGTCACACACTCAACGCCTACGCTGGCATTCATCAAGCCGACTGCCACATATATCTTTGTATGTATAAAAATATGTGTGTATGTATGTATATCTGTAAACATAACCACGAATGTGGCTGGCGAATTCGCGTATGTACATATGTGGGTCTATTTACATATGTCTACCCGTGTATATGTATCTGTTAACACGCACTACGCCGCAGCATCCGCCGTCCACAGTCCTCGGTGTCCTGCGAAGAATCCACCCATCAATGTTTGCGCGAAAATATTTTCGCATTTTTTCACGTCTCTTCCTTTTTTTGCTTTTGATAAATCTGTCTCGTCGTGCTGCTCAATTGCAGTGGATTCAATTATTGAAAGATGGCTTCAATAAACAATAACAACAAAGTGCGCCCAATGTGCGGACTGTTAAAAAGTGCGTGAAAAAGTGCGCGTGTATTTTAATTTGATTAATATTTAAATTGGCCGTGCACGAATGAAATCAAAATTTAAGACGATATATATACCATATACCATTCTGTTAGTGCTAATCGGAGAGGTACATCCCTGACCGACTGCCAGTACAAATTTCACTCAATTTGTCGATAAAAGGAAGGCGTAATATGCCGTTGTGGAAGCAATCCCAAAGGCATGGATCGACATTCTGAAGGCCAATCCGATCTGGGAAAGCGCAAAAGCTAGAATAACCAAATTGGATATCCAGTTTCTCCCAAGTCCGAGAAAGGACAATTTTGAATTTTTTCACTGATGCTATTGCATTCGGTTAGTGCTTATGTATCCTTTATTGTGAGACATGAGCTCATGCTAATCCAGCAGCTGATGATGTTGTTGTTTTTGTTATTCCTGTTTTGACTCTATTTCACTTTAGTTTGGCTAGTGGCGAATGACCCATCAGAAACAATGCAGGAGTTTCATCTGCCTAGGGCTTAGGGGAACCTGGACATACCAAGTTTGCAATTCTAGCTCTTTTACATGCTGAGATCCCTGCGTGCACCCGAACGGACAGATGGCATGGCTCTATCAACTCGTCTTCCCATACTGGCCAAGAACATATTTACTTCTGTCACGCATCCTTCCACCTGTTGCATTTTTCACTTCCCGCCAACCCAAGTTATTAAATGCCGCACCTCAAATTAACACACAATTTTATTCGCAGTGTAAAGTCCATGAAAACATTATTCTTTGACCAGTTGGCTAAAATTTTCAGATTCCTTGAGCTTTTTAAGCCTATCATCTTCTTAAGCCATAGCGATGCTCCACATTAAAATTAAAGGACATCATTTTCTCCTCCTGAAATTACACTTCAGAATATTTAAGTATTGATTTAGTAATTTGGATTTTCATAATTTGTTTGGTGTTGGGCTTCAATCAAAGCGCCTTTAACTGCTAACCAAAACATTTCTCAAGCACAAAGCTGGCCCAAAATCAAATCGCTTTAAGCAACAGTCCGCAAAACGGAACCGGCACTATAATTCGCTGCACGCTATTTTCATATTAAATAACTTTTGTTTGTATGTATGTACATATATGTATGTATTTATTTACCACGCTTGGAGTCGTTGCGCTTTTTTATTGTTTCAACCCAAGCGTCAGGTGAAAAAGTTCACAGCGTTTTAGTTGGGGGCGCAGCGCCGTTCATCTTTAAAGGAACAAACTTCAAGGAAAACAAAATGCATACATGTCTGATTGAAGTTAATAAACGCAAATCTACTGATTTTAAGCGCCCGAATGTATGCAATGAGACTTGCTTTGTGGCCGGGTCGCGCACTCAAGCCAGGGGCCATAAAAAATGCAGCACTTAACCTAAAAATGGGAACTTGTGCTCACCGAAACCAAATCAAAGAACATGTGCCTGTGTGCGAGTGTGAGTGTAGGCGCCTCAAAGTACTCAGCATAATGCTATGGATATATAGCACATACATATGTATGCATGTATATACATATATAGTATATGCGTCAGTGAGACCACAAAAGGCTGGCAAACTGACAAGCAATATATACGCTAAAGGGGTTTTGCTTGAATGGACCGATGGGGCTAGTTGTGTGTAGTTTGTGAACATAGTTGGGGGTGAGTCGGGTCGGATCGGATCGGGTAGGGTCGGGAGGTGGCTAGTCGAGTGCTAGCATTTGAAAAGGATACATTGATGCTCGACGGAGCGGCAGTGTGAATGTTTTGATACCAAGTGTTGGTGTGTGAAGATTACAAAGTGAGGCTGCCGGCAATACCAGCAAGAATAGCAAGAGGATGCAGGGAGGTGCTGCTTTGGACTTGTATATGCATAACAATTTGTTAAGGCCATGCTTGAGTTTTGTTTTAAATGCTGCTAATGAGCAGCTCATTAATACTGCATATTAAAAGGCGCCCAACGTGTACAGCTATTTATTATGCTCATTTATTCAGTCACCCAATGATTGGGATTGATGAATATTTTGGAGACGGTGCCGCGCAGAGATTCGAGGCCCTGATTGAGCGGCACTGGCTTCGGTCGCTGGTCCACGTTCTTCATCCACTGCTCCCAGGCATGTTGAGCCTTCAGTTTGCGCTGCTGATGCTGCTGTTGCTTTTTCAGGGCCTGGCGCTGCAAAAGCTCACGACGTCTTTCTTCTTCCTTGAGCTTTCGCAGCTCCCAGGCATGCACACAGCGAATAGTATCCAGGCCATTGATCTCGTCTTTGTAGAATCCCTGATCCTTCTTCGCATCATTTTTAGCGGCCTGACGTGCCTTTTGCGCACACCATTGCTGGAAACGCTGCGCAGCCAGCTCCTGACGACGTAAGTTCTCTTGTTCCATTTGCTCGCGTGCCAAGCGCTCTGTATGTTGCTTGTACTGGCGTTGTCGTTCCTTAGCTGTTAGCCAATTTTCGTATGCCTCACTGGAGGAGCGCTCCAACTTCATTACTTCTTCGTAGCTCAAGGAGCCTGAAACGGACTGCAGCTCTAAGGGTGGCACAATGTAGCTCGTGCTATCGATCTCTGTTGGCATGGAATAGCTCTGGCTCTCCTCCTCCTCCCCCTCGGCCTCTTCATCCTCATACTCCTCATCCCCCTCCTCTTCTTCGTTAGGCTTCATATCGTCGTACATGGGGTCCCAGCTGCACATAGAAATCGTCGACCCTTTGTCCAGCTGTGCCCCAGCACGGATTTCACACTGCTCGACCAAATTATTCACACTGCTGGCACTAGAATGCATTGAATCCTCCTCTTGCGGAGCATAGCGCAGCGTTTCGGTTTCTGTTTCCGTCTCGGGTGCAGAGCTCAGCGCTCCGCTGGATATCGGCGAGGCGCAACGCAGCGTGGACGTATAGGTCTCGGCCACGGAGCTTAACTCCGTGGACGAGGCCGAGCTGGCCACAAAGCGCACGGTGCTCGAGCCTGAACTCTCCAAGCCCGAGATGGGTGTGTGACAGCGCAAGGTGCTGCAATCCGAATCATAGGTTTTTACATAAGTCCGCAATGTTTCTGTGTCGGGCTCATAATCCATGCCACCCTCCAAAGGTGACATTTGCGGAAGACGCTGGCACTTTGTGGGACTACCCAGCAGTACTTCCCGCTCAATCAGTTCACCTTGGCTGTTCATGCGTCCAAGGAATGCCATTCTAAAGTCTAGCAAAAGATAAGTAAGCTGCGGTCTAACGGCCTCATCTGTGAATCGATTTCGACGCTTACCTTTGGCTAGTGTCTCCTAATCGGATAACTAGAACACGTCGCAAATACTAATTGATTTCTTTTCAGACTCGGTCTAATTAATTGCTATAAGAAATAAGTCCGAACGTGTCCGTGTGTAAATAACAAAAAACAAATACTAATACATACTTGGATTTGACATAATTAAGAACAGTTGCTGAAGCAGAAATACAATGTAGAGATCAGAGTCTACTTCGTATATTCTCGATTTGTATCACCAGCATTGCACTTAATATTATTCATAAGCACTGTGTTGAACTGTTTTTAGCAAAGAGAGTACATCTGGATTGTGTTGGTGTGCAGTATAGAGACAAGGCAAATCAGCGATAGCTTCGTCAGCTGCTGGCAGGACTTTAGCAAAGCTTGGGCAGAAACTGCATTTATGGCTAAAACTTCCTTAAAAACTGGATTTTTATTATCTAAGTTGACATGACTGCAGATAAGCACTAATTAGATGTGATTGTCGAATTGAGTTGAGTTTTCGTCCTTTCTCCGACTTTGGAGAATCTAGACAAATTTAAAATTTGGTTGTTCTAGGTCGTACACTTTCCGAGATCTTTGCGTTCAAGCATCAGGGTGGCCGAACATCGGATCGTCCTGTCATGATATGGTCAAGAATATATATAATTTGTTATGTCTGCCACGCCTTCTGTTCCTTTCAGGTAAAACAAACGACTGCGCCTTAATCTTCAATTTTCACTATCAACTATATAAAGTTAAATGAAAATGATTAATAAATAATATTTTAATAAACTAATTTTGCACTTTTTTAGAATATTAATTAATAGTTTTTCCATTTCACAACGTTTAAAAAATAGAAAATATGCATACACTTCAGCTAAAAATTGCTCACAATGAAGTATAGTTCAATAGTGTGTTATCTTACTAATAATTTAAACAATTTTAAAAATACGAGCACATCAAATTTGATTAAAAAATCAATTTCAATTTGAAGCGCTGTATAATCTAATATTTATTCCAACTATCACGCTTATTCATTATAAACTAAATGGCATACGAATTTTGCTCTACATATTCATTTAGGGTCGTCGTTGCATAGCATCAAAATTTTATGATTTGCCTCTGTCATTAAGCAATCATTTCCTTTTTTCGTTATTAGGCTCCGCACTTGTTCGTTACGCTAAATAACATTCCAGATTTCATTTTCTATTAATATACAATTTAGCTATTTTTTGCCATTATACGTCTGCGTCGGGGCTCCCCATACCGGCTGATTGCCACTGCAGCCGCCGCTTTTACATTCTAATCGAAAACTTTACTTTTATTGTTAAGAGTCACGAACTGTGTGACGGCAAAGACTGGAGGAGTGGCGTTGCCGGCGAGGTAATGTCAGTTATTTGACAGCGTCGACAGTCGAGTGCACATGCAAGCCCTCCGCACAAACCACAGAGCCGAGCACTTCAGCCGTCTAAAAGCTAAGTCCGTATGCGCCACTTAACCGTATGCCATACGGGCATAAAAAATTGCAGACCTACACCGCTCGGGGCTCGTCGCATGCAAAAACAAAACCAAATGGCGGCGGCGGCAGTGGAAATGCAGCCGACATTATTTTATAATTTACAAACAAGTTGCATGGCTGCAGCCAACACGATTTTTGGTTATAGACAACATGTCCGACTGGCTGGCGCTATATGCCAGTAACCTTCTTCCCCCAACACCCACCTCCCCAGCCGCCGTCAAGCCTTTAACATGAAATTCCATTAGCAGACGAAGGCAATGCTAATGTACATATACATAGTTGTTCCCGATATTAGACATATTTCGAGCTCCATTGATACAAATCGAAATTATTGGCTACATTGCGACTGTGCAGTCAATACTTTAATGCAGAATTTAATGGCACTCCATTAGTCACCCCAGGGAGGGCATTCGGTATTATTTTTAGAAAGCTATTGTGGGGAGTTTTATTTTATATTTCTGCCATAATGAGTGCATGGGCAATATGTATGCCAGATGGGTCTTCACAAAGAAATCTGTTGCTTATTCTCAATATATACAAGTAGTTGCAACTTCATTAATCAAGCTATCAGCAAAACTAAATAAATTAATTAATTTTTCAATTACTTTCCATATTATAGAGTTTTTTCCATTACACAACATTTAAAAAATTATTGAAGATATGCAATATATTACTTTTAGGTCTCCAAGACCGTTGACTTATTTTTTATTTTCCCACAACCTAAGCAAGAGTATGGGCAATGATTAGAGAAAATATTAAAGAATTTCGTATCTAATATTAAAAGTTGTGGACTTCCATTCGTTTTGACAGTTGACAGTGTTAAATGAAAATAAGGGTAACTGTAGGTATTGCATATATTGTCTGAATGTGAACAGCAATTAATTAGTTGCAAATTGAAATTCATGGGCTTGCCTAATCAGCGAGCATTTACGTGTAACCAATATCGGTGGGCCAACACGAAAAAACTATTAAAGCGCTGAAATTATGTCAACAATTAAGCAGGAGCTGTGACAGCCAACTATGACACTTCGTGCGGACGTGGCAAGGACGCGAAGCCGAGACCAGAGCCAGAGTCAGAGCCAGATCCAGAGAGAGAGAGCCAAAATGCGCATCATTAAAAAGCCATTTACATGCAGGCTGGGCAACATTTCCGATGCTACCAGCTGCCATACATTGCCAACAAATTGACATTTAGCCGTGTGGCATGGAGGCCATTGGCAGACTGACTGACTGACTGACTGACTCACTCATTGAATGACTGACTACTTGGTTGGTTGGCTGACTGGATGGCTGGTTGCCAGTCAGCCTGGCCCACTCGACAGTTTGTTAATTTTAGATTTGAAACACGTTTTCAACTCAATTTTATCGCATGTTACGCTTTGTTGCCTTTCGCTTTTACGCCCATGGCAAACAACCTGCAACTTTTTCAGGCATCGCCCGACGCTCACCACTCCTAGCCGCCCTTGCCTATGCTATGAATTTTGATTTGAAGTGTCGCCATCGCCATCGTCATCGTCATCGTCCTCGTCATTTCTATGCAAAGACTTGTCCAATTAGACGGCAATGGTTGCTTGTAATTTTGTATAATTTATGCGCCTTGCCACTGCCTCGCTTAGCTGACACAGAGCTCCTTATAAATTGGCCATTGTTGCAAGGTTGTTCCTATTGCTATTGATATCGGGAAGCCCCCACCTTGTCTGCAGCCGCACCCATGCACATGGTTCACAGCTCACGCAGAGAAAAAGTTTAGCACAGAATCTAAACAAAAGTCTCTCAAAGTTTTAATACAATTTTGCATAATATTTTTTCACTGATGAATGGCAGGGGAGGGTGTAGAGAGAAGAAGACCTTTGCACCTGCCAGCTTGACCGCACACATGGGAATTTCGACAGGTGCTGAAACGTATCTAGCACCAAACTCATAAACCTAATTAAGAAATAAACCAAAGTTTTTGCCGCTTCCACTTTATCGTTGCCTTCCTACAAAAGTGTGTGGCTTTGTTTGTATATGCCTGCCTTGGCATACTTTCGGCCTGTGCGCTTAAATTCATTGTATACGTATGTGTGTAGTTAAATTTATTTAAATCGCATTCGAAGGGACCCAAATATTGTCAAATTGTAGGCAGCACACTGTACACTGCGCAACATAATTTTCAAGTGTTGAATCAACCATCACAATCGATAAAATATTCTGTCTTGGAAGTATAAAATTTTCATTGGATTTAATTCGGCAAACTTTTATGAAATCAAAATTTAAATCGCAGAAAATTGAAAAATCCATATAAAATAGTTTTTAATTAATTGCATAACATCTAAGGCAATTGCTAGTTTTTATTATAAAAGACCTTCCTCCAGTAATGATCGAATATTTATTGATGTTTTAAGGTCAATATTTGAATAAGAGATTAGACATACCTCAAACATTTGGTGAAGAGCTAAATTCTGAATATAGGGTTAAGTGGGACATAAATTATATATATATATATATAATGTCAAAATAATCGGAAATTTTCTCATGTATTAATGAATAAATAATTCATTTTATAATACTTTTATAATTCAAATGAAAATTGAAATATGTAGTCCTCTTTCAGTAAGCTTTTTAAAGTGTAACCAGGGTCTGTATTACGAATAGCAAAAACAAATTACTGACGGATTACTGATACTTCTGTATAATTTATTAGGCTGAAATAAATATTCCCCTTTTGCACAGGTTACATAGAAGTCCTGCGTTGCTCCTTTGTGGAGATATGGCTTGTACTATAAGTATACGGAATTGATGCGCAGTGCCACCTACAAAAAATCCGAATTCTGTAAGCCTAAACCATTAGCTTGGTAGCTGCGTCATAAGAACTGCCAGCATAGAAAAGGCCAGGGGCACCCAATTGTCGCCATGCGCAATGATTAGGCTACATTACGGAAGTATTTGATATAAATTTTCAAATTCATATTGCATTTATTATTGTTTTTGTAGGCGAGGAAATGGAAATAGATTTCAATTAAAAGTATTGTTAAATTTTGTCAGTAACGATAAAGAGAAGTTTTTTAACCTCTGGCTCGGTAGGCAATAAGTTGTAATAAAATTATGCCTGAATATAATTAGGCATAGTTTTATGGAAGGCGGCCATAATCCATGTCCACCCGAAGCTATATAAAAGCTGCCCGGAATTGTGCAGCTCACGAGCTTTCGTGTATTGTGTGTACGCACACAGCAAAATACTTGAAGAACTCAAACAAACACAGCACTTTGAGCATAAATCATAGTACAAACATGCACTGCATACTTTTAGGCGCTTTGTAGCATATTTAACATTGCTCACTAGAGACGTGTCAACAGTTTGCAGTGCACAGATCTACACACTTTGATAACATTTTTGCATATTTACTTATGCAATATGGCAGAGTCGCCAACAGCAAACAGCCACCAGCCCCCAATCCACTACCCCCCGACCTCTACGTAGAGCACAGCCCCGAACACTTGACCAAGTTTTGTGCGCCTGCAAAATCTTTATTTAATCAAGCGTATTCAAACTTTTGCACAATTCTTCTGGCTGAGAAAGTTGACTTTTTACTACTGCAATTGTTTTCCAAATTGTCTCCGTAACTGTC